GTTGATGAGGTGTATTCCATGGCTGTGGTGAGCGGGCAGTGCGGGCATTGTCTGCCCATGCCAGCTGATGCCACCGCACCACCCCACTTGCACCCACAGCCCTCGGTGTCTAAGTGCAGTTTATTGTGGAAATTGATTATTCAATGTCGTTTGTACAGTTCTCACGGCATCGTTGGTGGCACCTGTGTGCAATAAATGTCAGTGAAAATTCAAGAACGTCTGCATGTCATACGCAGTGAGGGAGTACATTCCAAAACCGATTAGATGCTTCAACTGTCAGAGATTTGGACACACGGCAAATGTGTGTAAAGGGCGGAAGAGATGCCCAAGATGTGGAGAAGAACATAGCTTTGAGGAATGCAGAAATAGAACAAAACCAAAGTGTTGTAACTGGGGGGGGGGTATGCGGGTTGCCTGGTGATGAGGAGGGAAACTCAGGTACAACGTACAAAAGTTCAAAGTAAAGTTTCTTATGCAGAAGCAGTTAAATTGGTGGGAGAGGCTCCAGTGAGAGTGAATGACACGATGCCACAAGATTCAGCTCAAGGATCTGGACGGGTCGGGAAAGTGTGGATAGATGTTAAGAAATTAGTGACTTTGATTGCAGGAGTATTAAATGCAACAATGGAAACAAAATCAAAAACGGAAAGGACACAAATCATTGTGAAAGCAGCTGTTCAGCATCTGGACGTTACGGAGTTGTCTTGGGAGGAGGTCAGGAACAACCGTAGTGCGAGTTCCAGTCAAGAGGGGTTGGGATAGTGAATGGTTGGGATTTTACAATGGAATGCTAGGAGTTTGATTGCTAACGGACAAGAATTTAAAAGATGTATTGATGAATTATTGGAGAAAACAGATATTGTGTTCAAGAAACTTGGTTAAATAAAAAATTAGAATTTAAATTATATCAATACACAATAATTGGATGAGATAGAGAAGATGGTATTGGAGGAGATTGTGCTACTTTTATTCATGTTAATCTGAATTATGGAATAATGTGTGGGGATTTTAATTCTCATAGTTCTTTGTGGAGAGGACTTAAGGAGGATCAGAATGGGGAACTCATTGAAGAATTCATGGAGGATATAAATTTAGTCTGTATAAATGATGGTAGAGGGACATAGGGTTATAGGAGTAAGGCAGTATATCTGGACAAAAGTGTTGGTCGTTGGGTATTTAAAAAAGCTGATTGGGATAAATTTAGACTTATGTGTGAGGAAGAGAATGGAAGGATTAATATGGAAGAGGATATAGACATAGTGGAACACATTTTTAGGAGAGTGATAATTGAAGCGGCGGATGTTACTATTCCTAAATGTAAAGGGACCATGAAGAAGAAGAATGTTCCATGGTGGAATGAACAATGAGAAAAGGCAATTAAAGAGAAATAAAAGTATGAAAGTTTTGAGAAAGACTCATAATTTTGACAGTTTGTTAAAATGTAAAAGATTACAGGCTGAAGCTAGAAGAGTGGTTAAGAGAGCAAAAAGGGAAAACTGGAGAGGGTTTTGTGATAAAATAGGAAGAACTACGTCTGTAAGTGACGTTTGGGGTATGAGGAGGAAAATGAAGGGAGTTTATAGAGTTTAGATACCTGGTTCTCAAGGTAGGTGTAGAGGTTGCTATTAGCAATGAAGAGAAAGCTGAAATGTTGGCTAAAACTTTTATAAAAATTAATAGTGATGATAATTTGTCGGAAGATGGATGGAGAAGAAGAGAAGAAACCAGAAGGACCAATATTGTTGATGATGATGGTGGACGGAGACTGACGACAATTGACGCTCCGTTTACAGTTTTTGAACTAGAGCGAGCGATGGGGAGAACTAAAGTGACGTCGTCTGGTAAGGATGATATTAATTATGAGATGCTTAAACATTTAGGGGATAAGATGATGGGAGGGCTGTTGGAGTTATATAATAAAGTCTGGGGAAAAGGAAAATTACCAAAAAATTGGAAAGAGGCAGTAATAATTCCGATATTTAAAGCTGGGAAAGACCCAAGTATTCCGGAGAACTATAGGCCGATAGCTTTAACGTCTCATATAGGTAAAGTAATGGAAAGAATGATTACGGAAAGGTTAAATTATTATTTAGAAAGTAGGAATTTGTTAATGAAATATCAAAATGGGTTTAGGACTGGTAGAGGGACGATGGACGCCATAGTGAGTTTGGAAAATGACATCAGGAAAGCACAGAACAATAAAGAGAGTTTAGTTATAGTTTATTTTGGTATTGAGAAAGCATATGACATGGTGTGGAAGGAGGGCTTGCTGATTAAATTAAAAAGGTTGGGGATAGAAGGAAGAACATATGATTGGATTAAGGACTTTTTGTTTAATAGATACATTCAGATAAAAATAGGTGATAGTTTGTCAGAGGGCTATAGAGTTGACAATGGGACGCCACAGGGAAGTGTGATCAGTCCTGTTCTATTTTCTATAATGATTAATGATGCATTTGAAGAGATAGGATATGATGTTGGGAAAGCATTGTTTGCAGAT